AGGCCCAGTTTTGCCCCCCCCCCAACACCGAACGAACAGCAACTGCTGGCCCCTGGGTGGCGGGGTCCCTGGGGCGAGAGCAACAGGACAGAGTCAGTGCCGCGCAGGGGGGAGGGGCCATCCTCCCTCCTCCCAGCCCCAGCTGGCTTCTGGAGGCCTGAGGGTCAGGATGTGAGCTGTGAGGGCTCCAGGCTGTCCTGAGACCCTTCCCCAGAGCCCAGGGGCCCGGCACATGCTCTGGCGGGGTGCTGGCTCTTCCCAGACCTCTGTGTCCCCTCTTGGGGCTGCAGTTCCCAGGGTGCAGGCAGTGGAGACCTCCCCATGCCGTGGGGCCAGGGCTTAGGGGCTGGGGCTCCTGGAAATGGAAAATGTGAGCCGGACAGCCTTATCTGGGCTGGAAGCAGCTGTCTCCACTCCACACCCTCCCCAGCCCCTGGGTCGGCAGCGAGGACCTCAGCCACTCCAGGCCGGGAGGTGTGGTGTTTGTTCTCTGGCTAGCCTGAGCCCCAGCAGAGGCCCGTAGGAAGTTCCTCCTTCACTGGGACCCAGAGGCCCAACCCGGGTCCAGGGGGCTGGGAAGTTCTGCTCGATACCACTGCGTCCCCAAACCAGGGCCGCCCTTAGCATTTTATGTGCAGAGAAGCCTGCAGCACCCAGGATCGGCCCCTTCCAGGGACAGAGAGACTTGTGGGTCTGCTGGACACGGGCCCCGGTTGTGTTTGACGGAGCTGACAGAGTGATGCACACGTCTGATACAGGGCCGCACACGCAGACACGTGACGTGCATGCATGTGCATGTGTGTCCTGTCAGCGTCATGGACACATCCCAGCATCTCTGTTGGTACATGTACTGTAGGCCCACACATGTGTGTGCAGAAACACGCTCAGCCCCTACGAGCAAGTGCATGAGGAGCCCTCCTACAAACGGGTACACGTGCCCTCCGCACAGTGTGTGTGCGCGCGCATGCAGGTACGTGAGCAAGCATTACAGACCCCGTAACACCCGTGTTTCCCCCACACAGACACGCCCATGGGTGCATGCGGAAGAGATGAACCCTACACATTTATGTATGGCTGGTGAGTGTCCCCTGGGGATGGAGCGACGAAGTTTGAGGTTTGGTTGGAGTGACCCAGGGACAGGACTCTCTGCCCGAGCTCCGGGGGGCCTCAGGGTCCCAGGATCAGCACCGGCAGAGCCCCACGTGCCCCTCTCCTGGGTCCCAGCTGGAGACAAGACGCCAAGGCTGCCTGCCCTGGGGCTTGGGCTCCTGCACGGCCTCCCCTGGGCTCCCTCTGCACTTGGCTCCTGAGCCCAGCAGCCTGGCAGGACAGGGTAAATATTCGCCCTGCATCCCCACTCCTGTGGATCTCATAACAAGGCAACCGTTTCCAGGATGGAGGCCGGATTCAGGATTTGAGAGGAGGAGTAGTGGGGGATAAGCCCACCAGGGGATCCAGGCCTGGAGTGCACTAGGGCTCCCAGAAGTGGAGCACGAGGTGTGGGGTGCGGCTGCTTTCGGCACCTTCCCGGATATGAAGCCGGACTGCCGGGCCAGCTCGCTGCCCTGCAAGCTGAGGGCTGCATAAAGGGTGTGGCAGGCCCGTCTGGCCTGGCCCGTGACCCTCCAACCTGAGCCCTTCTTGGCACAGGGGCCTGGAGGGATCCCTAGTGCAAAGGCAGAGGTGACCTTGGAGACGGGCTGTGTGCAGCCCCTGTGAGTCCCCAGGGCTCACCGTTCCCTGTAATGCACGCTCTGACCTGTCTTGGCAAATGGCACCCCCACACCTCCCAAGTACCCAAGCAACTCTTCTGTCTCTCTGCTCACCGTCCAGCCATCTAGCTGTCCTTCTGGCCCCGCGGGCTCGCCGGTGAGCCCCCTCTGCCCAGGCATCCAATCACCCAGGGTTTCCTGAGCACTTTCTGAAGCCAGTGCTGTCCCAGGTGTGGGGATGGATGAATGGCTGAGACAGAGACCCTCTCTCTGAGGAGGGGGTGCTGCATGCTCATGCAAGAGCACATACGCCTGGCGCCCGTGCACACGGACCCAGGGTGCAGAGGGTGGAGGGGTGGTACCAGCCAGGTGGGCAGAGGAGTGTGGAGGTCTGAGCATTCCCCTCCTTCTACCCTTTCCCCATCCCAATAAGCCTGATGTGACCTGTGATCTCAGGAACCCAGGAGTCTGGGAGCAAGTGGGACCCCTCCAGGGCAGAAGGCTGGAGGCTGGTGGGCATGGGGAGGGCCGGAGGTGAAGCAGTGGAGGTCATCAGCACGGGTGTAGGGGCGGGTGATTTTACCCAGGCAGGGCGTGCAGGTGAGGGGGGCCCACCATGGTTAGGGGATGAGTGCAAGAAAAGTCCCTCAGGAAGGTCCCTGGGGCGGGAGACAGGGAGGAGAAGGGAGTGGTCCTCGGGGACCACTGCCAGAGGGCCATGGGGGGGTGGCTGGAGCCCTTGGGGGAGCAAATGCTGGGGGGGGTGTAGCCCCCAGCCGGCCCAGGGAGCACACAGGAGCTGTCCAGACTTGGCCGAGGGTGACAGTTCCCCAGGGAGGTGCCTTGGGACTAGCATGCTGGAAGAAGGATGCCCCATCTGGGGACAGGGGTCCAAGTCCTGCCCCAGGAGGAAGAGGGCCTCAGTTTCCCCATCTCACATCCGTGACTGACTTCCCTGACTTCATAGTTGTGGCCTGGCAAGGATTTGATTTTGAGAAGTGACAGGAGGCCGGGGGCCTGGGGAAGGCTTGTCTCACATCCAGCTTCCAGCCTAGAACAGAAGCAGGTCAGGGGCCCAGCAGGCAGTGGCGGGGGGGAGCACCAGGTGAGGGGGGGCTGGAAACACCACACCAGAGCCCCCCTGGACCTAGGGGGAGGCCAGCCTGACTAGCTCGCTGACCTCAGGGCTGGTGAATGTGGAGGGAGTGCGGCCTCATCAGTAGGCAGCCCTGGCCTTCCTCACGGCCTGGTAGAGGGCAGGCGCTGAGCTGGAGTCCAGTGGCCACCTCCCCCAGCCCCCTCCCCATCCCAGAAGTTCCTGGTTCCCCCTCCCCCACCTCCGTCTGTCCCTGCACCTTTGCCCCTCTCTTCAGGCCCCTGGTACAGCTGTCCTCTCCCAGGCTCTTATCCAGCTACTGACTCAGTGGTCTGACGGCTGCGGGGAAGGAGCCAAGGGGGTCGGTTTGCTTCTTGGACTGTCTACCTTCCCAGAACCCACAGTGAGCCCCATCTCTGCCCTTGACAGAGTCCCCACTTCTGTGGCAGAGGGAGCCCTGCCCTGCCCCTAAGCAGCTCCTCCCAAATATTCTCCTGGTGGCTGGGGACAGCAGACAACTCACCCAAGGTGGGAGGCGGGAGAGGGCGGGGGGACCCCTGCCCAAGCCCACCCCCATAGATGCTGCAGGCGAATGCCCAGGAGGTCACACCTGCTAGTGCCCCCCAGGACTTCATCACACGGTTCTTCCATGGGTCCTGCAAAGGAAGGGAATGGGCTTTTCTGGCTGAGATGGGCTCTCTCAACCTCCAGCTCCCGTGCTCAGACCTGCAGGGGCCATGAGTGCTGGCTGGGGTGGGTGGGGGGTCGGGGTTGGGGGAGGGCTCTCCCAACTTCTCCCAAAGGTTCTGCCCAGAGAAAGAAGGCAGGGAGCGGTTTGCCTCACCCCGTGCAGACGGCTACTTGGAACACACACTCACACGCACATGAAACATGCATGCCTTTTGGCACTTGACTTTCTCATGAAATAATTGCTGGAAGGCTCCTTGGATTAGGTAACCCAGAATTCCTTACTGTCCCCATGGTGGAGGGGAGCAAGGGGGGGATCTGCGCTCAGCATCTGTCAGGCTGATCTACAGTCCAGGAAGCCCAACACAACAGGAACAAGCCCGGCAGACCTCTTGTTCCTGAGGCATCTGACCTCCTTCAGGTGGGCCTGGCCTGGTCAGGAGAAGGCTAGTCAGGAAAGGTTTTTGGGAAAAGGATGGGATGTTCCCATTTTTATTTTAAAACACATTGCAGTGACACAGAAACTCAGAGTATCTTTGCTCATCATCCCTCCGGTCCTCCGGAAGCAAAAATTGTTTCCATTCTTTCCTTTCTTGTGGGGTTGGTCGGTGGGGGAGGTTGGAGGGGAGGACTATGTGGGTTTAGGCATGAAAGGGTTGTTAAGAGGGAATAGCGGCGGGAGCCTGTGGATAGAGACAGGTGACGGAGACTCTGATGGAGGGACAGGGCCCATTAGTCCAAAACTCACTCATCCCAGGATTTGGAGATTCAGCCCTCAGTGCACCCTTCCCTCTGTGCCAGACCTCAGCCTCTCCTGGATCCCCTACTAGGATCTCCCACCAGGGGCCCCTTGGTGAGGCTGGAGCCCTTTCTAACCATTGGTGAGAGCACAAAGATGGAGCCACACAGAGTGGGGCTGGGAGGGGACCGCACACGGGTCTCCTGCTCCCTTGGTCTTCACAACAGGTGCAAGAGATTCCAGGCAAAGCTCCCCCAGGTGAGTCTGTGCTCGTGAGAGCCGTGCCCACACGGTAGAGAGGGCAGGGCCAGGACAGGGCGAGGGTCGGGGCGGCAGTTCTGGGGGCGACTGCTGCCCTCAGGTCTCTCCGAGCGGTAGGGGAGTCCCCACCCCCAGCGGGACCGGGCCCTGCGGGTGAGAGCCCCGAGGGAATGCATAACCAGCGTCTGTGGTCTCCAGGGTAAAGTCCCCTTGGGGATCGAGGGCTTCTTCCGGTGGGGCGGCCGCCCCTCGCCCAGGCCGCACACCGCTCCCCCGGGGTCGGGTGGGGGCGGATCTCGGACCCGCACTCCCCCTGCGGCCCCGCCCGTTCGGACAGCAGCGCCCGGCCGTCCCCGATCGGCGCCTCCGCGGCCCCCACGCCCCGCCCGCGCGCCCCGGCCCCGCCCCGAGGCCCCGCCCCCCCCGCGCGGCGCCCTGTCCCCCGGCTCGCGGGCCCGCCCCGCCCTCCGCCCGCCCCTCCCACCGCCCCTCCGGCGAACCCAGCGCCCGGCGGCCAGTCGCGTCCCGGAGCTGCGGAGGAACTCGACTTCTCTCCCCTCCAGGCCCGCGCTCAGACCGCGCGCCCCGCTCGGCCATGGAGCCGGGCCCCGACGCCGAGGAGGCGCGCACGGTGCGCGAGGCGCTGGGCCGCTACGAGGCGGCGCTGGAGGGCGCGGTGCGCGCGCTGCACGAGGACATGCAGGGGCTGCAGCGCGGCGTGGAGCGGCGTGTGGCCGAGGCGCTGCGCCTGGCCGGCCCGCTGGCGCGCACCGTGGCCGAGCTGCAGCGCGACAACCAGCGGCTGCAGGCGCAGCTCGAGCGCCTGACGCGGCAGGTGGAGGCGCTGGGTTTGGGGACCGGGCAGTCCCCCGCGGCCGGCACTCCCGGCACGCCCAGTCCTCCGCCCGCGCCCGGCGTCCCCGGCCGCGCGCCGCGGCTGGGCAGCGCACGCTTCGCCAGCCACGCCACCTTCTCGCTATCCGGCCGCAGCCAGGTGAGCCTCGCGGAGCGCGGGCGCAGGTTTGCGGGCTCAGGGGGCGGGGGGCTGCGCGCCCCCTGCGGCCGCCCCTCCTCCGCGAGTGCGTGCGTCCGCCCGCGCGTGTCTGCTGGGCTGCGGGCCGTGCCGCCTCTGGCCGCTGGGACTCGCTGTGGGGGTCCGGCCACCACTCCGGAGTGAGAGAGGGCCGGCGAAGCCTGCCCGCTGCACCTGTCTCGGGCCCCCTCCTTTCTTTGCAGCCAGGCCCTGTTTGCCCGGAGTTCTGTCTCCCTCTCCCCTTTGTCCCACGACGCTAAGGGCTTGGGCGCTGAGATAGGGCCCCTGACCGTTTCAGCACCGCCTGGGCCTCGCCGCCGGCGTGTCCGAATGGCCAGCAGCCCCCGACTCCCCCACCTCCATTCACGGGCCCCCCGCGTTGCCGCTTCACTGAGGCCTGACGACTCCCGTTATTAATTAACCCAGATTGAGAACTCAGGCCCCCCTGTGTGTGTGAGAGAGGGAGCGAGGACACAATGTGGTCGGGGCAGCCGCGTTTGGGAACTGGCAGGGGGTTAAGAGAGCCGGGAAACCAGCCTTGAGCAGTCTCTAGCTTCCTGGGGTCAGTGACCCGCGCTGGGGGTGGTGGAGACCGGTGTGGACCAGTCACCCCGCTGAGCATGGGGCCTCCTGGAGAGACAGGTTAGAATGTTTCCATGGTGTGTGCGGTGGCCCTTAGGTGGGATTTTCCACTCTGCTCAAGCATGTGCTCTGGGGTTGGGTTTCCAGGGTCTGGGTCTGAGTCGTTTGCACCTGCTGCCCCTCCTTGGTTCAATCCCTCATGTTCGGATCTCCTGTGTGGGCTGGTCTGCACCTCAGGGGGCGGGAAGAGGGGATCAGATCAGTGCCTACCCCTGGAGCTCCCAGCCGTGTGGTAGCTGGCCCCAGACAGAGCAGTGCCAACCGTGTGGGCAGCCAGCGCGGATGTGCCTTCCCAGTGGGTGTCCCAGGAGGCCTTTGTGCTGGAGGCCCAGGGCTCCTGCTGAGGTGCCGGTGGAGGTGGGATGGGGGCTGTGCATGGGGGCCCAGCAGAGCTAAAGGGACTGCCTGGCCAGAGGGGAGCCTGGTGGGGATGAGAGGGAGGGGTGAATTGTGAGGGCCCTTTGGGTGCTGGGTAAGGGAGCTGGGCTTTGTCCCTGGGGGCGAGACATTCTTCAACCTGTGGTGGTGGCAGAGCCCCTGGGTGGCCTGGTGCTCGGTGTGAAGTGTCTGGTTGTGTCCTATGAGCACAACACGCTACACATCCATGGTATGAAATCACCACTGTGAGCTCACCCGTGCCTAATAAACTGTGTCATTGGCTGTTCCTATTCTAACACACATGCTCATGGAAGCAGGGGCCCAAGGTTTCAGAAAAAGAGCATCCGCGTCATGTGTATAAGAGCGTGTATTTGCACATGCTTGCTCATACATGTGTGAGGGGATCTCCGGTCATCTGCCTCAGCAGTACTCCTCAGTGGGCATTCTCACCAGAGGTGAGCTGGTCCTCTTGGTGATGGGGGGTGGTGGGTGAGGGGTGCTGGGCAGGGAGGGACAGGGTAGCCATCCACAAGCTCCCGCAAGGATGGATGGCAGGGTGGAGCGTGGCTGGAGACAGGGTGGGTGGGTTAAGTGGGATGGCCCGAGGAGAGAAGACGGTCTGACCTGGGGCGGGGGTGGGTGCACGGAGACCGGGGGCTGCCTTGGGGCGAGGTCTGCAAGGGGGAGTTGGCAGGGGGAGGCGGTGTTTGGGCACAGACAGCCTGCCTGGGGAGCTGCCGGGTCACAGATCTGCTGGGGTCATGCTGCACGTGAGGGGCTACGGGACATCCACGGGAAGCTGCCCCAGAGCAGGTGGACCACGGATCTGGGGTGCCGGGAGTGGTCGGGGCTGGACGTCCGGGAGATGCCGGAGCTGAGCTAGCAGCTGAAGCCCTGAAGTGGGCGAGGTCTTCAGGGCAAGTGCATGGAAGGAGAAGGTGAGGCAGGAGTCCTGGGTGGAGATGGAGGAGATGCCAGGGAGCCAGCAGGCCCTGGAAGTCAAAAGGTTGGGGTCAGGGGGTCAGCAGGGATGCTGTGGCTCTTTGGGGGACGGGGGCGGAGACCCAGTTGGAAAGTAGGTTGCGGGCCTCAGAAAGGCAAGCATCGCTGAGTACTTGGGGGAGGGTGGTCAGGATCCCCATCCGGGGCGGGGTCAGCTTCCCCTTGCTTAACTTTGGAAGCGCTGGTCCCCACTTGTCACGCAGCCCACCTCTCCCAGGGCTGACACATGCTCCCAGCCAGTTTCTGGCAGCGAAGGGGGCCATGTGGAGCTGTGTGCACATCCCCACTTGTGCTGTGACGAGCGGCTCAGTCACGCACAGGGACTCGGCTTCAGGCTGGGCATCGGACTGCCAGCTGTCTTTCACACCCCGTGTCTGTGTCGTGGGGGGAGGGTCCAGGTAGAGCTGCGGTTACCCCGCCCCTCTGATATCAGCGAGATGTAGAGAACCTTTTGCTTTCTGCCGTCTCAAACTGGGGGTTGTAGGTGTTGGAGGTGGGTCCTACATAGCGTAGAAATGTGCCCTGAACTTAATGGGGGAAGAGTTGATGAAGTAATCTACTTTCGAGCACATAAACCTTGACCTTGCTAGGGAGTGAGAAGACAGAGCTGTAGCCAGGGAAGCTCTGGGAGGACGGAGAGGGCCGGGCAGTGGGAGCAACCAGAGTGGACTCCCTGTAGGAGGCCCAAGTCCCTGCAGCAGACAGGAGCTGCTTTTGTCACGTTTGCCGTGAGGCCTTGGGAGCCTCTCCTCACTTTGTCTATGTCTAAACCAGGGGGGATTGGGCCGGGCTGGTTGCGGGGGGCCCTCGCAGTGGGCGGACTGGGTTCTTCTAACAGTGACATCCGCTGGATCCGTTAGCAGATCCGTTCACAGGCGTGCGTGCACAGCCCGCTGGGGTTTGTGGTGGACAGCGGCCGCCTGAGGCCAGGCCTGAGTTGTTTCCTGCAAGCCACCGCGTTCTTGGGGCGGAGGTGGTGGAGGCCCTCAGGGACTGCTGCCAGGAGCTCGGGTCGAGGCCGGCCTGCGAGAGAAGCCAGACTCCCTTATCTGCTCCCCTCCCAGACGCACTGTGTGATAGCAGAGGTCACCGCTCCGGAGGCAGGCGTTTGGGTTGAGTTTTGAGAACCCCTTGGGGGGGCAGCGGGGAGCAGTCTGGGGGGTGGCCTCAGTCACTCCAGGGCTGCCCGCGGAGTGGGGCGGGGGGTCAGGCAGAACTGAGAACACCTGAAATGTGCCCGCCCTCCCAAAAGTGTTTACAAACTTCCCAGTGAGGGAGAGGACTGTGTCTCCGGAGTCTCTGAAATCACGTGCCTGCGCCTCCCCACCAATGTCCCAGGCCTGGGCTCCCTAGCAGGGGGGCCCCTCCTCTTCACACAAAGCCCAGATGGGGAACTCTGCAGGACCTGGGGCCGAGGCAGCCTGCCCCCCAATGCTGGGAGAGCGAGCTGGAGGCCCCAGGGGTGTGCCTGCTCCAGCCCAGCTCCTTGGTTTCAGGGCTCTGTCCCACAGAGGTCCTACTGGGGTGGTTACCCCAGTGTCCCCCCATTTCCTCCCCCTCAGAGGGCCAGGGGCTCGTGCTGCCCTAGGCTCCTGGGGGAAGTTCGTGCCGAGTTGTCCTCTTTTCTGTGGAAGGCCAGAGCGCTTTGTGGGCAGAGCCTTGGGTTGGGGTAGGAGACCCAGGTCCCAAACCTTGACTCCACCACTGCCTTTAGTAACGTGGGGGTTTAGACCACCGGTTGTGTGCCGATGGGATGGAGGTGGTCTCCAAAGAGCCCCTTGGCCTGTGACACGGACAGAGCACTCTCCTCGAGTGAGGGTCAGGGCACCCGGGGCGTCAGGGCTTAGCCCCCACCCTGGCTGCAGTCTAGCTGAGACCCCTAGATGGGAATCTGGCTGGTCCAGAACCTACTTCCTGTCTGGTTGTGGCGTCTGGTTCCCTGGGGCATCACAGGGGTGGGGGACCTGCAACGTGCAGGGGCAGGCATCTGGGGCCCCACCATAGAGACCCACATTCCTGAGAAATGGTTTCACCATCCGCCTGTCCCTCCAGGCTCCTACCTGGACCTGTGGCACCGGTTGGACCAGAGCAGGGAGGGTGGGGGGACATGGGGACCCCAGAGCTGAGTTGGCCCTGGTGACAAGTAGGGGCTGGGGTTCAGGGTGGACTTCTGAGTTGGCTTCAGACCGGCTCTAGGGGTGCTTGCAGATACCCCCCTCCTGCACTGCACCTGCAACGGGGCCTGGCCCCTCCCCCACCCTCCTGAACCAGGAGTTGAGGGGTCACCTGAGTCCTGTCCTTTCTCACTTCTTCAGGGACCCGACCCCACAGGGGGTCCCTTGTCCCACCTCTTCTGCTGGAACAGCCCCTCTAACCCCCCCGCCGCCATCTCCCCTCATGCCAGAGTTTCCCCCAGCTACCCCTCCCCCCCCATTCAGTTCCTAAACCCACCATCAGGCTCTTTGATGAACCCAACAGGCAAGGTCTGGATCTCATCGCGACCTTTTCCTTGACACCAGGCCACCTTTGGGAGCTGTGGGCACGCCTGCCTTCTTGACACACGCCCCCCTGCCCCCAGGCTTCCACTGCGTCTCCCTGCCCCTCCCACCGCTGGTCCTCTGTAGACGCCTCTTCTCCGCTCCCGGGCCCCGCGCCCAGACCTGCTCTTCCCCTGCTGTGCTCGGGACTCAGGACTCCTGCTTCCCCCTCCTTCCCCCGTCCTCCCCCGTCCTCCCCCGTCCTCCCTCGTCCTTCCTCCGTCCTCCCCCGTCCTCTCCCGTCCTCCCCCGTCCTCCCCCGTCCTCCCCCGTCCTCCCCCGTCCTCCCTCTTCAACTGCAGCCTCAGACACGCAGCCGTGCCCTGACCTCAAGTCCCTGCTGCCCAGGGGCACCTTACACTCAGCGTGTCCCAAACCCAAGTCTGGTGTTCTGACCAACGCCCCTCCCTCCCTCCTCGCCGCTCGGATCCAAAGCCCAGGCTCGGATCCAAAGCCCAGGCTTCGAAGAGGCCTTGCCCCCCGTCCTCCGCATCCGCTCACTGCACCCAGAGCTGTGAGTCCTTCTCTCTTTGCCCGCCCACGGCCCCCGTGTCCCCTCCCCATGGGCTGGCCCGGGGGCTGCCAGGTGCGTCTCCCGCCGCTGGATGGGAGTGCTGCAGCCTCCAAGCCTGTTTCTGCAGACAGGGGTCGCTCTGCTGGGAGCGGCCGCCCCTCCTCGTCCACCTGGCTCACTCCAGACTTGGCTTGGGCGCTGCCGCCTCTGGGAAGCCCTCCCTGACCCACTGGGGCTGGAGGAAGTCTGTCGCAGGCATGACGGCTGGGCTGGCTTGGCGGTGTGTGCTCGGGGTCCTGGCTCCCGACCGACCTCTGCCCCCCACCCCCCGGCAGAGTGGCCACGCTGGCCCTGGGTGCGGGAGCGGCTGAGCCGCCCGGGGCCCGCCCGGGATGGGCTTTGTTAGTCATCTGGGAACCTTGCAGACCTCGGCGGTGTCTAGCGGAGGGGACAGCCTCTCCAGGTGCCCGTCGCGGCCTCTGAGGAGAGGCCTGGTAGTGGTCAGCCTCGATCCCCTTCCTGTCAGGCAGACCCCCAGACCCCGGCCTTGCAGACACTCTGGGCCCTCCCCACGGCCCTCCCCGGGAGGAGGGAGGAGAACGTCCTTCCGGGCCACAGACATCAACTGCTTCTCACACCCCTTCTCTGAGCCCCGGGTTCTGTCCCTCAAACGAGGGCTGTTAGCATGCACCTGGGAGGACAGAGCACGTTGGTTAAGTGGCATGCCCACAAAAAGGGCCTGACACCCATGAGACGCTCAGAGGGTACGTGTGGAGCCACCTTGCCTCCAACAGGGAAACCGAGACCCAGAAGGGGCAAGACCTGAGCCCAGCAACACGGCGGTTGGCGGCACGGGCAGGACACCAGGCCCCCCGGTGGCTCCTGGGTCGGAGGGGCCCCAAGGAGCCAGTCAGGCCCCCATACTCCAGGCACCCGGGCAAATTTTGTAGCTCTGGGTCTAACGAAAAGTCGTTGGTCCCCCATGCCCAGTGTTGGCCCAGAGAAGCTTACGCTTCTGCTTATGGCTGTCTCCACAGCGGCAGCCCTGCTGGCCCTCCCGGCCTGGGGAGCAGTCTGGGAGAAGGCTGGGCCACCTTACACACAGCTCAGAACCCTTGCTCTGATCTTTTGTCCCTGGCACTCTGGGCACGTTTGCCTGGCTGGGTCCACCCCAGGGTGCTGTGTGGCCTGGGCCCACTACGGTATCTTTTGGGGGCTGCCTCTCAAACGTGAGTGGTGTTTGCCCCCAGAACGAGGGGGGCTTTAGACAGCAGTTTTGGGGTGGGCAGCGGGCCCTACTTGACGGGGCCTCCTCGTGGCGTGTGTCTCTGTAGAGCGTGGATCCCCAGGAGGAAGCCAGTGAGCTGGAGACGAGGAAAGCCTCAGACCCGTGTGTCATCGAGAATGGGCACCAGCCGGGGGCAGGTAGGGGCCGATGGCACAGGAGGGGTGGCTGGGGGTTTGTATCTGTGCCAGGCCACTCCGACAGGTAGAGGGGCTGCCAGGAGGGCGGCTTTGCTCAGGAGGAAGTAGAGTTTTTTAAACACAGAGGGAAATGGCAGCTCTCGAAAGGTGGTGAGCTTCCCTGTTTCTGGAGGAATGCAAGCAGGGGCTGAGGAATCGTCCACGCAGGGAGAAGCATAGAGTGGCTGGTAGGCTAGCTAGTGTTTACTGAGCTGACTGCGCGGGCAGTTTGCAGTAGACGTGGACTCTGGTTGGAGTGTCGAGGCGTCTCCGGAAGGGGGAGGTCAGGGAGGCCTTCCTGAAGGCGGTGGGAGGAGGGTCGGGGAGTCTAGAGTCCTCCTGGGGGGGGGGCTCTGGGTCCCCTGTGGATGCCATGGCTGACCTGCGCCCCACCCCACTGGTCGTGTTCCAGGTCTGGGCGATGGACCCCCGGAGGCTGCCCAGACGTTCCCAGCGCCAGAGCCGCCCAAGCCTCGCCCCGTGAGCCTCTCCTTGCGGCTGCCTCACCAGCCCGTCACGGCCGTCACTCGGGTCTCTGAGAGGTTCTCGGGGGAGACCTCAGCCACAGCTGTCTCGCCCACGTCCGCCGCCGTCCTGGGGGGCCTGAGCCCCAGCCCCAGTGAGGCCACCACACTGTGGACCCCCGGTCCCAGCGGTAGGAGCAGGAGAGCATGGCCTGGGGGCAGACCCCACCTCAAGGTGGGAGGGCAGGCAGGGCTCAGGGGCTGGGGGGTTGGCAAGAGACCCAGAAAAGCTGGGGCCATGCCACAGCCCCACCTGTGCTCACCACGGCAACCCCTTCCCTAGCCGTCCGTGCGGCCCGTCCCCGCGGGGACATCCCTCAGTCAGGACCCCAGGCCCGTGCGGAGAGAAGGGGGCTCGCATCCCTGCACAGTTTGGCATGGTTCTCCGGGCCTGGCTTGGGCCTGTGGTCAGGCTGCTGCTGGTGGTCCCGGGGTGGGGCTTCCAGAATGAGGGTTTGGGAACAAAGTGCTTGCTGGATACGCAGCTCAGGAGGCCCTGGGCCCTGTGCCCTCAAACGCAGGGTGGGGACACGTACCAGAGCTTTTATGTCCTTGCTCTATGTTCCCAGCTTCCTCTCCCTCAACTGTTGGCCGAGGTGGGGCCCGTGGAGCCTGGGGCACCTGACTGTCCAGGGAGTGATGCCGGGGCAGGGGAGGGGGGCCGGCGGCTGGTCCCCCGCGACCAGGGCTACTTCTCTTCTCTCCTTGTCCCACAGAGAAGAACCCATCCGTCCCGCGGTTGAGCGCCGGCTACGGGGCAGCGCCCACAGGCAGGAACAGCGACAGGTGGGTCAGGATGGCCTCGCGCTCCCCGGCCACCAGCGGAGTGACCCTGTGCTGAGCCAGAGCTGAGAGCCAGGGCAGCAGGGCAGTGCGGGGGCGGATTGTGCAGGGGAGGCAAGGTAGGCCTCCCCCTGGACAGTCTTGTTTGGATATGGCTGCAGCTGTGTCTGCGTGGACTCCTCAGATCAGGTCTGGGCCAGGATCGAGCGGGTGTCTCTGGCCCCACAGAGGAGGTGGGAGGCTGTCTTCGTCCTGGCTGGCAGGGCTCCCTCCGCCGGGTGCTTCCTGCCCGGACGGGCCGGAGGAGGCACTGGAGAGGCCCCAGGGCTGGGGCAGGTGTGTGGGGGCTCCCCGCAGGCCAGCTGGACTGAGATTGGAGCTGGGAGGGGGTGGGGGGCGGGCTTGGCTTTTTTGCAATCATAAAGGAAAATTGTGACTTTGTGGCAAACTGTCGAGGAGGAAACAAAGGGGGCCTTATCTAGTGGGGGTGGAGGGGGGTCTGGGCCTGGTGGGGCTGGTCTGGCGTACGCCGCCCTGCCCGCCATGGGAAGTGGCACCTGCTGAGGGGTGGGTGATTATGCCCAGCAGGAGGGGCTGCCCTCCCTCCAGTGTTGGGCTGGGACAGAGTGGACCCCCACACTGCTCGACAGGCTGGTCCCGCCTCTGTTCCTGCCACTTCTTCTGCCTCCGTCACTCGTGGGGTGGGGGGACCCTGGGCCCACGGGGGCCTGGGTGTTCCCAACACGCTGGTCCTCTCCTCAGCCCACCCCTGGTGACGCCGCCCCGGTCGCCCCCGTCCCCCCCGCCGCCAGCCACCGCCCAGGCCCGGCGCCGGGAGCTGGTGAGGTCGCAGACGCTGCCCCGCACGTCGGGAGCACAGGCCCGGAAAGCCTTGTTTGAGAAGTGGGAGCAGGATACCGCGGGCAAGTACGGACGCTCATGCCCAGCGCGGGGGCCCAGCCCCAAATGGTGGCCTGGCGGGCGCAGCTCAGCAGAGCTGGCCCTGCCCTGTCCCCCTTGACGAGAGCCCCTGTCCTGCCCCGTCCCAGGGGTGTCTCAGGCTGCCCTCCGCCGCCTTCCCTTGGTTCCTGGGCGTGACGGGGGCTCCCGGGGTAGCTGTGGGGTGACACCCTGGCCCTCGGAGAGACAGGGCTGTTCTTTGCATAGGGATCCAGCTCTCAGCCTGACACCTGCAGTGTGCAGGGGGGGACTCAGGCCTGCCCTCCCAGCGGGGAGGGAGACTGAGCCCACGGCCTGATCCCGCCAGGGAGTGTCCTTGGGGCCCAGAGGAGGACCCCCTCTCTGGCTAGGAAGGAACCCTGTCAGTGGGGGTGGCCTTGGGGCGGCTGGACGAAGGGAAGGGGGGCCCTGCGGGCTCGGGACCCCTGACTCCCAATGTGGGACAGAGACGGGGCTTGGGGGCTGGAGGGAGGGCGGCCCTGCCCGATGTTGTCAGGGGGCTCCCCGGGGGCACAGAGCCGGTGGGGCATTCTCCCAGGGGGCTGGCCGCGCTGGGGACCCCGGCCGGCCCTGGGAGGAGGAGTGCCCCGTTGCAGGCTGGCTCTTGGCACAGGGGCAAGGGCGACACGCGGGCTGAGCTGAAGCGGTCCCAGAGCTTCGGGGTCGGTGCCGGCAGCATCAAGCAGCTCCTGCTGCGATGGTGTCGCAAGAAGACTCTAGGCTACCAGGTGAGCCCGGGTCCCGCCCCAGCCCGGCCGCCTCCCTGGCCACCGCCCACAGCCCGTGCCCGGAACCCTGGGGCCTCCTGCGGACCGGGTGGGCGCCGGGAGGGGCTGCTGGGGGGGACCCGCTCACCTCCCTGTGTTGACCCCCGGCCGGCCGGAAGCACGTGGACCTGCAGAACTTCTCCTCCAGCTGGAGCGACGGAATGGCCTTCTGCGCCCTGGTGCACTCCTTCTTCCCCGACGCCTTCGACTACAGCGCCCTGAGCCCCACGCAACCGCAGAGGAACTTCGAGCTGGCCTTCTCCATGGCTGAGTGAGTGTGGCGGGTCCTGAGCCGGCATCTGCCCCGGGGATGGGGGAGCATGGGGCAGGCAGGCCGGGAGGCCCTCCACTCCGCCCGCCTCCTGGACAGCTGGGGGGTCGCCCAGACTCGCCGAGGAGGGCTCGCCGCACCTGCCCTTCCAGCCGGGTGACTTGGCCCCTGGTGTGTGTGCGGTCTGGGAGACCAGCCACTGACCGACAGGGCACGGGGGGCCGTGGGGTAGGGTCTCCTAGGGCACCGGTCTGTCCTCTCAGGGCTGGTGGGGACATACCGTTGCTTTTGGGTGAGCAGGAAATCAAATAACATCTGCCTGGGAGACGTTTTGAAAACGTCTGCAGTAAGTCGATTTTGCTTCTCTAAATGCTGTTCTGGCATCTGATATGCAACCGCCTCCCTTCCTGAGACCCACTCACCGGGGGGAGATTGGGTGGGGGGAGATTCTGGGATCCCCAGGCTGGGATTTGGTGGTCGGCTCGGGGCAGCCCGCGGTGCACCAGAGTTCTGGTGGGGACGCAGGCAGTCCCCTGGGGGTGGTCTGCCTGGCGTTCTGGGGGTGCCGGAGAGCAGTTGTGGGGAGAGGGCCGTGGATGGACCAGCTCCCAGTGGCTGGTGGGCAGGGGACTGGGAGAAAGTGCTCTGTCCTCACACCAGGGCCTCCTGTTGGCTGAACACCGTCGGGACACAAAGGGCTGGGGAGCCTGGAGATGGGGCACAGAGGAGGATGTTTAGGGCTGCCTGATGCTCAGTTTCCAGGAATCAAGGGGAAGAAGGTCAGAGGGAAGGAAGTTCCCCCCAAAGCCGAGTTTCCTGGAGGGAGTGTTTATCTCTCCTGCCGCAGCCTCTGTGCCTGGTGACATCAGCCCCCTGAGCAGCCTGCGTGTGCCCACCCAGTGCCTTGAGCGGGGGGAGGCCGCACTCCAGGCCTGGACCCCGGGCCTGGCCAGGGAAGCTGAGGGGTCTGCCCCTCTCCCAAGCCACAGCTCCCGCTCTGGGGACAGGATGGAGACCCTGGCTCTGAGCTTCTTGGCTGAGCTGTAGGAATGTTGGTATTGCCCCTGTGGTGTGGTCTCGGGTGACACGCTTGGACTCTGGGCCCCTTTGGGGTCCCAAGAACTCCTTGTATCCTTTAAAAGCCTTCTCTTTTTTGGCTGCTTGGGATTAGCTGTCATCCTAATCACAGAAACAGCTCTGGATGGAGCGTGTTATGCAACTGGACCCAGACGGTGGTGAAGCAGAGCCAAGGGGGACGGCACGGTGCTGGGGAGGGGTGCCTCGCAGGGGGAGGCCCAGCCGCTGGGAGCCTAGACAGGGTGGCGGTGAAACCGCGGACTGCGTGTACGGGGCTGGGGCTCTGATGCGGGCATGCAGAGGCCTACCCCAGCTGGCGAGGCCGCATGTGGCCCCTGGAGTTCTCTTCCGTCAAGACCAGGGGGCCGTGCCCTGGAGCAGGCTGGGCCGAGCAGGGAGAGTGGTGGCCCTGCATCCCTGCATTGCAGATTGCGGGGAACACAGCCCCCGCCCCCGCCCCCGCCCAGCCTGCCCCAAACCCTGCAGCTGGGGCCAGAGCCGTCTGGGCTCATGGAGCCTCCAGACTCGGAACGCACGTTTCTTCTATTCCCAGCCTGGGAGGTGATGGTGCAGACCGCTCCAGGCTTTGCTTTCTTTCCCCTCAGAGCACACGGGGTCAGCAGCCTGGCCCTGCCTCCCCGTGGCCTGCTTGTGTCTGGGGAGGGGAGGATGGTCTGCCTGCTCCTGAGATGAGTTCTGGCTTTCCTCTGCCTTGAGGGGGACCGGGGGGGGGGGTGCCCTGGGCAGGCCTGTGTGGGGAGCTTGTTCGGGGTCTGGGAAGGGGCCTCCCCTGGGAGTCCTGCGAGAGGTGACCTCGCAGGGGCCGCTTGGGTCATCTGGTTCCTTGGACGGCAGACTGGTCAGGAGCAGACGGTGCGGGATGGAGGACAGACAGGCCTCTCAGACACGGGGTTCACCTCCCAACAGGAAGGAAGTGCTTCCATACCCTTCCGTGAGCAAGGGCCATAGAAGCACAAAGATGCCCGGGGAACCTGTGCCATGTCAGCGGTTGGTGCTGCCCCTCCTCCCTGTAACGGACGGTCCCAGAGATTCCCCATGGCCTAATCTGTGCGAGCAATGCGGTGTTGACAGCAGAGTGAGCTCCCTTGTTGGACAGGTATCCCGGGCTTGGAAAGCGGGAAGACCAGGTCTTTTATGGAAGGGGCTGCGGTGGGTGTGTGGTGGCCTGCCCCCTGCACCCTGCCCCCCCCCCCCACCAGCCCCAGGCTGAGGGCAGGCCCAGAGCCGGATGTGTGGCCCGAGGCTCCCGCTTGCCCTGTGGGGAATGTGTCCTGCTCTCCGGTTACGCCCAAGCCGAAGGGGCTTCAGGCTATTTCTAGTGCTCATGTGTCTGTCTGAAACCAGACAGGAGGCTGTAGTCAGAGCCTGGCATCTGCATTTAGAGGAGGCTTAAGCAAATAAAAATAACCCCTCTGGCCCCTCCTCCATGTCCCTCACAGGCCAACCCCGCATGGACGGAAGAGCAGAATAGAGCTGGAGTAGGAGAATCCTCTGAACCCTTCTTAACCCCAGGCAAGGTGCGGCCACGTGAACTCATTCAAAGGTGGTAGTACTTTTTCCTTTGGGCTGTTCCGTGGTGTCTGAGTTCTATCAACAAGCTGGTGTGGCGTTTACAAAAGCAGCTTATTGATTTAAACGGCAACTGGGTGTGCACTTCATGCAACATGCTGTCAGTTATGCCTCAACTTTTTAGGGCGTTTGGGGCCTCTAATATTTTGAGACTTACGTAGTGTTATAAAACTCCGTCCTGATCGTCATCTTCCTCTTCTCATATCCTGATTCCAAAATCTTATTCAGCCTTTGTATGGAGCTTCTAGGAGTCTTGACGTGACAGTGTGGCTGGCGGGGTGGGGACCGGGGCTCTGGTTGTTTGCTGGGAAGCTGGGACCTTGCCCACAGCTTCCCGTCTGGGTCATGGCGGGGAGGCCGCGGGGAGGCCTTCGCGCCTGTCCCCGCCGCCACCCTGATCGCGGAAGTCCGGTAAGGGCACCCTCCGCTAAGAAGGTGGGAAAGAAGCTAGAACCAGCACAGAGGAGAGACTCCCCGGTGCCCTTCGAGCTATTTAGTTTCGGGGAAAGGCACAATAGGGAGATTCTCACAAGGTTCTCTTCCAGCGTGAGATGTGGGAAAAAATCAGGCTGAAGATGGACTTGTGGGGCCAATAGGTAGGAAGGACCCAGAGGCAAACTAGCATGAGAAATGTGAGGGCACCTTTCCTGGCCTTGGGGGAAGAGGGCCCCTGGCCTGGGCCTGGAGGACAGCCAGCCGAGCAGGGCCACCGAGGAGAGAGCACCTGCCTCCTCCCCGGTGTTCGGAGGCCAGCACTCGGTTCTCTTTCCAGCCTGAGGGTCGGGGTTTTAATATGGCTCTCGTTTAACCTGGGGACCACAGAGCCCAGCGTCGGGGGGAATGGCCCAGCGCACGTGCGGGGTTGGCTCATCTGGGATCTTGGGAGGCAGCCCTGGGTGGGCAGGCGGGCAGGCGGGCAGATGTTGGCGGATGGCTCGGGAAGGTGCACTCAGGTCAGAAGGCCTTGGATTTGCAGCCCCTCCCCACCAACAAAGCACTGATACAGGCCTGTCCTTTGTCAGAGCGCACGCTTCCCGGACACGGAGCCCCGCCCTGGCCCGTCGGGGATGCCAGGGTGCCCAGCCTGGGGCCAAGCCCCCCGTCACCTCACAAAGCCACTGGGTTCCCTCACAGGGACTCGCTCCAGACCAAGGGGGAGGCGGCAGTGGGCCCATCCAGGACAGATGTCTGTGTTTCACTGACATTCGGGGTCTGAGAGGAGGCCTGGCATCTGGCCAGCCTGCAGGGCGGGGCCCTGAGCTCGTGTTCCAGTCCCGTGTGTGGGGCCCCCAGCACCGGCCCGCGGGCCCCGGGGTGCAAGCCCAGGACGGGGGCGTGAGGAGCAGAGCTAGCCTCTGAACCCAGCTGCTCAGATTCCAAGTGCCGACCTTTCCCGTCCACGCACTTGCTCCTTACATGGAGCATGATGACAGAGATGATCGGCACCGCCGACATTTACCGCACGGCTCGCGGGGCAGACACCCCCCGCCACCCCACGCAGGGCGGTTACACCAGCCGGGGCAGTCAGAGGCCGGGAGAAGTGACGTGTCTTTCTTACCTCAAGTCAGGAAGGACAGGCCAGGTCGTGAACCCCGACAGTCACCCACTTGTTCACAGGGTAGGAGGTCCCACACCTGGGACCATGAAGCGCACTAGGCTGCAGAGGGATGGACGCTGACAGCACCAGGTGTGGGCATTCGAGCCCAGTTGGTGCTGCCCGACCCTGCCAGGCCCGCGATTCTGGCGCCCTGGGAAGCATGGGGTAGCGTTTGGAAGGACAGCGCTCTTAGGACACGGCGCTGACCCCTGTCACTGGGGGTGCCGCCACAGGAGCTGGGGATGGCGGGGAACCTGCTTCCCAGCCCAGAGAACGCCCAGCTTCCTGTCTACACCAGGGCCCAAGGCTAGACCAGCATTTCCCAGAGTGTGCGGCAAGGGGGGCCGGGGGGCGAGGGGGTTGTAGGCAGCTTCCTGACCTTGCCCTTGGGACCCGTCAGCCAGAAGGTCATGAAATCGGGTGAGCGGTTCCCGCCCACGTTAAGTGGGGTGGGTGGGGGGAGAAACAAGCCCCGTGGGGTATCTCTGGGGCAGAAAGCACCTCTGTGCCACCCTGGGCCTGTTCGCGTGCGTGTGCTGTGTCTCCAAGCGCGGGTCTCGGAAACGTTTTAAAAGACCGTTTAGGAGCCGCCTGGGTGAATTTATTACTTTCTTTGTTTTACATTTTGTAGTTTGTGCCGAATTTTCACATCCTGCCGACATACATTGAATTTTTTAGTGGAAACTTCATTTTTAAATTAAACTAAAATTTCGGTAATAGAATTCTAACACTTGTAAGTGAATTTAGTGAAAGTGAACTTTAATTTCACTGGAACTTGCAACCAGGAAGTCTGTGAAGTGAGTTTACTTGGTGGCCCCTGGATGCAGGGGTCTGAGCAGCACTGCCTTGGAGTAAAGTGACCCCCGGGGTCATCGGAAGGCCCTGGGGTGGGAGGGCGCCGCAGTTTTGTCCGCAGGGCCACGGGGTGGGCTGGTAACCGGGGCCCTTGTCCTGACGGGGCTTCTGTGTTTCAGGAATCTGGCCAACTGCGAGCGCCTCATCGAGGTGGAGGACATGATGGTGATGGGCCACAAGCCGGACCCCATGTGCGTCTTCACCTACGTCCAGTCACTGTACAACCACCTGCGTCGCTTTGAATGAAGCCCGTGGGGCCTGGATGGCCAGGGCGGAGACTGTGGGGCGGCTTGCGCTCCCCGAGCGGGGCAGCCCCGCCATGTGGTGTGAGGGCACTTTTGTTCTGTGGCGTGTGGCACGCCCTCTGGCCAGCTGTGTTGTTTGATGTGGGCACTGCGCGCTGTGCTCTGCGTGGGCCGCGGCCAGGGCTCCACAGAAGAGGGGGAGCTGCCAGAAAGCACGATGGGTGCTAAGTGATTATCTCCCTTCAAATAAAAGGCTTGCCTGTGGATTCTGGAATGTGAGATCGTTTTCCCACGGGTGAATCTGATACGTTGGCTTCACGGGGTCACGTTGGTTACCAGGTGTGTTTTATCACAATACCCAGAGTTCTGTACATCCCCACGCTATGGTAGGCTCCTCTCCTCCCTCGCTCTGGGCCTCTGCCAGGAAGCGGGGAGGACACTCCATCGGTAGCCTGACACGGAAGACCACGTCTTGGGAAGAAGCCATCTAATCTCTCCCTGGTCCTGGGCAACAGATGACCTTCAAGTCACCCTGGTCCTCTGGGGAGATGGGAAGGGCTGTTGCCTCGTCCCAAAGCGCCCCGTCCTTCCCGGGAGCCTGGCTAAGAATAGGCTCTCAGGAGGTGAACGCTTTTAGGGAAGGACGAGGCCCTTTGTGCAGAGAGGGAGGTTTTTGTTTTTTTACAATTTAAAACATTTTTATTATTTTTTATTGTTATGTTAATCACCATACATTACATCATTAGTTTTTGATGTAGTGTTCCATGATTCATTGTTTGTGCATAACACCCAGTGCTCCACGCAGAATGTGCCCTCTTTAATACCCATCACCAGGCTAACCCCCCCCCCCACCCCACCTCCCCTCTAGAACCCTCAGTTTGTTTCTCAGAGTCCATCATCTCTAATGGTTCGTCTCCCCCTCCGATTTCCCCCCCTTCATTCTTCCCCTCCTGCTCTCTTCTTCGTTTTTTTCTTAACATATATCGCATTATTTGTTTCAGAGGTACAGATCTGTGATTCAACAGTCTTGCACAATTCACAGCACTCACCATAGCACATACCCTCCCCAATGTCTATCACCCAGCCACCCCATCCTGCCACCCCCCACCACTCCAGCAACCCTCAGTTTGTTGCCTGAGATTAAGAATTCCTCATATCAGTGAGGTCATAGATACATGTCTCAGGTAGTTTTTATTCACATTTTTTTAGGGGATTTGCTGCAGGTATCTATGGAAAGTACTTGCATGTGTACTGTTGACTGTACATAAAAAGATGTGTCAAACTTCACTTTGGATTTGTTCTTTCTGTTTGGTAGACGTGGGGCCTGTGCACAAGAGATTTTGCAAGCATTTCCAATGAAAATCTGCTTAAATTCCCTCCCCCACCCTTTATCTGCTTCTGTCCCTAAAATTCGGCCCGGGAAGTGGACAGCCACATTTGCGCATTGCTTGGTGCGTCTCCCTCGTCTGTGCTGTTGGGGGAGCGAGAACTGGGAGTCCCTGCTCCAGGCGTTGACGGGCAGGTTGTGGGGTAACCGCAGCCAGCAACGGCCGGCTCCGCTGCAGTCCCATTGAGGAGCACTGGTTTATGTTCACAGTTGCTTGTGCTAGGCTTCTAGCAGCATGTCTTTAGATTCCACAAATGTACCCGTTAGTTTATTCAGGAACCCTTTTCAACTAGGGTGGATTTTAGGCACAGACTTCTAGAATTTCCCTTAAGGAGTTAATATGTCTTTAGCTCATGCAACGGGCTCCAAATGCCAGAGCCGGTGTGCCCTCTCAGACTCATATGCATGTTCCTTGTGTTGTGGGGGAAGAGCTCTTTGGGGTGTGAGGAGGGACATGGTGGGAGCTCGTCGGGGTGTGAGGAGGGACATGGCGGGAGCTCGTTGGGGTGTGAGGAGGGACATGGCGGGAGCTCGTTGGGGTGTGAGGAGGGACATGGCGGGAGCTCGTTGGGGTGTGAGGAGGGACGTGGCAGAACTTGCCAGGAGGGTGAGCAGAAGCTCCGCAGATTTGTTTGTTGGGGCTAAAGTCTTATTCCATCCTTCAGATTTCCCCACAGTGGAAACTCCTCCCTTTCCCTCTTGTTCTTGGAGGCTCAGGAGGGTGAGCCCTATTATTAGCAAAGACACGGTGCCCGTTATTTATTTTTTTTCCAAGCTGCAGTTTAGGGTTTCAAACCTAAAGCCAATTTGGGAATACCAGGGCTCTATACAAAAGCATTTCTATATGTTACTGAGTATTCACACGTGTTAAGTGGAGCTCTTCTGAAATGCAGACGCGGCCTTGCGCCTTTGCACATAAAATAGAGCAGATCCTGCTGGAGTAAGGAACAATTTCTCTTAAACCGGAGGAGTGGTGTTCTTCATGTCCCACATTCAGAATGACACAGATGAGACATCTTTAAAGTACGTTCTGCGATGATCTTGTTGGTGGTCTTTGGCAAGGGCTCTCACGACTTAGCGGGTTTTAAACTTGATTCCCTCTAGGACACAAAGCCCGTGGGTTCCAAGGCTGGGGCAGAAAATGCAGGAAGGCAGCATATCTGAGGACATTTGCACACCACAGCGTTAGATCAGGGTTACATGAACGTTCCCTTCTGTGACGTCCAATTTCAGGTGCCTTTTCACCACGGTACAAACGGTCCCACATTTTTTTTTTTTTCTTCCCCGGAGAAAATTATTTCTCAGAGTGCTTGTAAGATTCTCCTGCTTTTCCAGATAGAGTCCTTCACCTGGCTTTTGTTAAAACTTATTAAGTCTGACCAAATTGGCTTGTGTTTCCCTGACATGAATGTTTCACCAGAGCCAAGATGGGCTTTAGCTTTTCTGACAGCTGATGGGTTATTTCTCAAGGCAAGGGAGAGCTTATGAGCACTTTCTAAATATGATACAGCACATGCTGGTTAGAGGAGCACGGACAGGCCAGGTGTTTGGGGAACAGTTTGTTAAAGCCAATGAATTTCTCAAATGGGCGAGATGATGAAAAGTTCTCAGCTTCCCCCGCCGCAGTGGTGGGTGCCCGGTAACCGGAGGAGGCAAGCAGGGGATGCTATCTGCAGCCATACCAGCTATATAGGACTCCAGGTAATTGGGTGGCCAGCTAAAAATGCTGGTGAAGTTGGTCAGTTTGGGGTGGGACATCTTACCCAGCGGAACCGGCTCGGGACTGGGTTTCTTGAACCGGTGACCGGTGACCTGTGCATTCTGGTGAATCGGTTGTGCCTGGCTGATGGCCAGCTTGAGCCCTCTGTGTTCCTTCTCTTGGCCTGCTCTCATCTCTACGCCACTGTTGATCATGGGCTCCTGCTAAGTGATAAATGAGACAGATAAATGATTATCTGTCTCATCTCCCTTGCTCTGGGAGCCTTTGATCTCTTATCTCTTGGTTCTTGGTCCTACTTTGGCCCAAAGAGCACATGAAAAATGCCTGGGCTTGCCTCTTCCCTGGAAAGCACCAAACAAGGGAGATCACCCAGGGAGGAGGGAGCGAGAATGCTGGGCTCTCCTGGGTGTCCGGGCAGCCTCTGTGGGAGGGATAAAGAGCTGGAAGGGGCTCTGAAGCAGTAGGGCAGGTGATGGGGCTGGCGGCAGTTGGGGGGGATGCCCAGCAGCGTTTGGGTGCATCTGGACTCCCCAGGGTCATCCCTCCGGTGGATCCAGGGCTGTCACGTAGGCAGGGGTACGCGCTTGTTTTTTACAGTCCCATGTGTCAATCACTCACAAGTGTCCCTGGCGTGTTTGACGTCTTAGTGCTATTGGCAGGGTTGGACCCTCTTCCTGGTGTCCGTGGCCTCACCCACACCTCCTGGTCCCCCGCCTTGCTGCCTGATTCTTCCTGGTCTGCGGCATGGACTCCTTTCCTGTATCCATCACTCCTCTGTGCTCCCTGCCTCCCACGCTCTGTGCTCTGTCTCCTACATCGGGGGTTCACAGCCCCAGGCTGCCGTGGGCTTTGGGAGTCAGTGGAGGTCCATCTGAATGGGGTGTTTCACCTCCTTTCCCTCTAAAATTAGCTCCTTTTCCAGTGTTGGCTACTTCAGCAGATGGCAGTGTGATCACTACATGTTGCCCCAGCTGGGCATCCACAAGTCTCCTGCACCTGTGCATTGTGGACGGGCTACCCACGCCCTCCCTGCGTGCGCCGTGAACTAGGCATTCATGGAAGGCTTGCTGGGAGAGGCCCAAGATTCCTCTCCTGGTCAGTGTCCTGGAGCATCCGAAGTATCAGTGTTCCCCAAGGTTCCGTTGTGAAAAATCTCAAGTTTACAGAGACGTTGGAAGAAGAGTCCAGTGAACGTGTGTTTTCCTTTGCACTGTTAACACTCTGCCATGTTCCTGTTCTGTCTCCGGTTTGCTGAGCCATTTGGTCGTAAGGTACAGAGATCATGACGCCTATCCCCGAAAACTTAAACACATACTCACCAAGAATATAAATGTTCTCCTACACACACGTGTTAGCATGCTTCAGAAATCAGACATGTATGCATCTAATGCACAAGCTGTGTTCAGATTTCTCTAATTGTCCCCATATGGCTTTCATGGCTGTTAAAAAATTAAAAAAAACTCCAGGGTCCAATCAGAGTTCACATATTACATTTGGTTGCTATGTCTCTCCCATGTCTTAATCTAGAACAGTCCCTGCACGTTTCATTTATTGTCTATTTTCCATTTGACTCTTTGGAGGATCCCAGGCAGGTTGCTCCCAGGCTGTGCCCCACGCTGGGTGTTTCTGGCTCCTGCCGACTAGATCCAGGTGAGACCAGCTTGGCACAAGTACGAAAACGTGGTGGCACGTGAGGGGCTCGTGCTGTAGGCTTGGCTGATTGCACCAAATGCCCTTAGGATCGTCGATGGATGATATTTATAATCTGTAATTATACTGGGCATTGGAAATGGTGATTTTTAAACTCCATTTAAACTCATGGATTCTTGGTGTTTTTCTCGGTTTTGTTCAGTGTGTTGTAGCCCTCGGCGTCGTGCTCACGTGGTTCAAGCTC